CTGGTCGAAATTACGCAAAACCGCATTTTTCCGTACCAACAAATGAGTATCAGAACCTAACAGCGCTAGCATGGATGACAACTCAACAGCTATATAACCTGCACCTACTACCACTGTACGCCTGAAAAACACTGCACCATTTACCCAAACACAAATTTTTCAAAAAAAAAACCGATTTTCAAGACTCTCCGTTTTCAGTCCCTGGCGTAGCCCAAAATGCTTTTCATAGGCCCCAAAAAACCTTTTACAATTTCATCCGGTCCGGCCGCCGCTTCACCTGAACCATTCATTATTCCCTTATTTAACACCTCTAGATTTTTACGATTTCATAAGAAGTTTTTGGCTTACACACTTTATACCGGTACTCGTGGCACTGGGGTTTTCATTGCCAACCCTTGTCTACCACAACGCTGACATTCCTATGATCACTTCTTGGTTTGGCTTCCATGGCCCTCTCTATTCTTTCTATTTCGACAGATCGTAACTTCGCCGATGCTTTAAAAATCTTATCTTTGTGCTACTCCAAATTGCATGCTCCAACGCTAATCGCACCAAAAAATTAATGATGATAAAAAATCATAATTAGCCATACTATTACATGTAAAATAAACACTATTATATGTATTTTTTTAATAAAAAAACATAAAAACTGATAGCTAATCACATTATCAAAATAAGTAAAGCAGGCGTTAAAGTAGGAAGGGCAGTATGATTCCTAAAGGCCCTGTGAGCATCATATCAAGAAAAGCGTGGACCCCTACCACTAGAACTCGGACCGCAGGCCCAAGTGTCTCCACCCAATGCTGTATGTGCGGGCGTGAAGAGGAAACAGCCGACCACATCGCAAGCTGATGTTCGCGCTGGCTGAGCAACCTGTATGTCGAAAGGCATAACAGTGTTGCCAGAAACCTCTATTTTCAACTCTGCCAGCACTACGGCTTCCCATCCATCCACCACACAAACCAGATACCCGCGGTGCGGGAGAACACCAAGGTCAAACTGATTTGGGATACCGTCATTCCGACACAAGTCCCGATGGTCCACCGGGCGGACCTAGAAAGTCGTTCTAAAATCTTATCTATAAATAGCCCATGAAGAGGACTGTAAACAACGGCCAATACAGTCAGGAGCAGCAAAATAGGAAGACCAGTACGGGCTGTGCAGGGGTTATCATAAAAACAATGAATGCGAAATTTTCTTCAACTTACTTCGGTAAACTATCCAAATGGAAGAAACCATCGCTATCGGTGCCATACTCTGCACCCGGAATTGATGATGGCTTATTCGGATATCTGTAATTATGTTGAAATATCAAAAACCGAAATATCAGTTTCTACACAAAGGAAGCTTGCTGGTTTTTCTTTTCCACTTACCCTCCGACCGCTATCAAAATGTGTTTGCCGAAATATCTTTTATCCCCGACAACAACAATTCCATCTTTCGTGAACGATGCTTTGCCACGGATCAAATCAACTCCAGACTGAAAAAAAAGGAAAAACTTTACACAACTTTTTTCGTACAGACATTCAAAAAAAAGTATAAATTTAGATCCCTGAACACCACGACCGTCATACTGACGAGGTCCAGTCATGGTGCTGAGCTAAGACGTATATGACTTAATGGACCGAAACGTCTTAATTGAGAAAATTGTTTTTTTCCTACTATTTTTCCCTCTGTTTATAAACTTCCCTTACTTTGGCACCAATCAACATAGATGCTACAAACGGCTTAGAAAAAAAAAAGACAAATTTTCTCGATTTTTGGAAATTTTGCAAGCAAGACTCGCTAGGCAACACGACAAGCTGTTCACTTTCCCGGTGGCAGGAGGATGCTAGCCATCAGTAAGTGTTAATCATAAGCCAGGAAATAATTGATCACTTCAAACAGAAGGTGAAAAATTTATGTGGGACAAATCACTTGGATTCAGACTGGCCCGAAAAGAGGATTTTTTGCAGCTGTTTAGAAATCTCAATAGAAAAGAGGGCCCTAAAATAATATATTTCACAGTGTATGACGATTTTTGAATCGGTCGCAAAAAATGCTGCTCACATTGGATAGATTCGATTCGTAAATACTATTTAAGCGTCTGATATATGCTTCACGGCTATCTTTTATTTTCCTGCAAAAATAAAAAATACTTTTTTTGAGAAAAAAAAAAGTGAAAAAAAGCCAAAAAAAGGGATAAAACCTCAAAAAAAAAATAGCGGTTAACAAAAAATAGCAGAAAAAATAGCAGAAAAACCTCAAAATACAATTAAATCAAAAGTCATCTCCTTCTTTTTTCTTAAAACTAAGCACTTAGAAGTTGCCCTTTTGGTAACAAGAACCAACAGCAACCAGTCTTTGGCAGAGCTGCCGATAGCCTCCTCTTTCGAAATCGCTGTTTTATGGCAGTTTTGATCCCAGTCATGCGCAATACAAATTTACTAATGAAAACTACGTCGTGTTACATGTTAGTTTTCCCATTTTTCTCCTCTCTTATTATCTCCATTATTTCCTTTCAAACATCCCGCTACTTGACATTTTCACATGGTGGTTTGGCGGCTGTACTGATGATTCCCGCTCCTAACCGCACTACACACTGTCTATGTTTACAGCTAAGGAACGAAACACAGGCAGAGACCAATTTCTACACGTTCCTCTTTACATGACTTCTCCACATGTCACATGGTTTGTACTACATTGACAGACATGCTATTTTCCCCATCATAATCTATTAGTTAATTCCACTCTACGTTAAAATTTATAGACTATGGCCGTTCTATATTTTCCATGGTTCAGACTGCCCGTTTGCTTCAGAAATTACGGTCCGGACCCCACCAAGGGCCGGACCGTAATTTAACCTACTCCGGCCGTTCCACTTGGACCGTCCACTTATGATTCGACCTTCTAACGGCTACTGCTTATCATTACTGCCTTAAATGAGTGAGTCACGATTTCGGCTATTTCGCTGGCGAAGTTCAACTCACGACCTTCTGCACGACGCAGTGCATCTCCTACCACTGGCTGATCCAAGGATGGGGGGAGGGAGGGAAGGAGTGGCATGACGATCCAGGGATGGGTGGTGAGCTGCCCGAGGAGGGGGG